CCCCACGGCACCAATGTGTTCTCCATATTGCAGCAAATCCTTTAGAACCAGCTGTGTCTGTAAATGGTTCAAAATCTGAAGCAAAAACAAAATCATCTTCCAAGAGCGACTTACCATTAAAGTTCTCCAGAAATTGGGACCAAACCCACAGATATTCTTTTAATTTCGAAGTTAAACGAATATGTGAAAAGGGGGATTTGAATCCCGAGGTAGCCAAAGACATACGACGAGTAAAAATTCTGCCTATAGGCATGACTCTACATGCACATGCCAATACACCCAGAAGGAACTGAATCTCTTTCAACAAAACCTTCTTGCGATGTAAAAAGAACAACCCAATGTAAGAACTGTGAGAATGACTCAAAATAAGCACACGATACAGAACAGCCCATGGGCAGGCACCTATCAAAATAGGACTGACCATCAAAATTAATTCCTAAAGAACTGAAGGAATCGGGAGAAATTGGTAGTAAACTGAATGCTACTTTTATATCCGCTTTAGCCAGCAAGGCCCCCGTACCAAATTGTCTGATATTATGAATGGCTTCCTCAAAAGAGACTGTAAGAAACAAATGACAACTCTTCATTTATTTCATAATTTAGAGATGACCTTTTAGGAAATGACAAATGATGAATTAAACGATATGTATTAGGCTCTTTCTTGGAAACAATTCCTACAGGTGATATACTGAAATCTTTAAAAGGAGTAGGGAAGGGGCCCGAAATGTGACCTCTAATTTCCTTATCCAACTTCTCATGCATAATATCAGAAAATGTTTCTACTGACTTTAAGTTATTACTAATTTCACAACCAACACCATAAAATATGAGCAAAGGGAAACCATTGGTAAAACCTTCCATTAAGAATTTAGCTTTCTCCGTGTTTGGGTAAAGCTCCAACCACTGTTGCATGTTTGCCAACTTCACTGGAGTGTGGGCTTTTGGAATAATTTTCTCTTATATTTTGTTGCATAGAGTTGTTCTGTTTGAAACATTTGATGGCTGGATGAGGTCCGGAACAATAGGAGCATTCGTGCTTATACTTACATGAAGCTGCCCATTTACACTGGGTTTCATTATATGCAAAACAAAAACCTCTTTTGTAAGGAGAAATCGAAACATTAGGCTGTTGTTTAACCATAAGGGATTTTTGCGGTAAAATCAAAATTCAACCACAAACCAACGTATTTCATTCTACACTTCAAAGTGGCATATACAGCTAATATTTGTCTGAAAGACTTGTCATAAAAGAACCAGCCCAACCCTCCAAAAATTTTATTTGCTTCTAACATGCTCCAAATGTTGAAATAGACCAGTACAAAATTCTGGATGCCTTTCTCCCAAAACACTAGAAAATATTGCAAAAGCTTGAAGCCAATTATGGAATGATCTCACCACTGGTCTACGCCTATCTTCATCCATTTTTTCCTTCTACTTCTTTTCGGATTTACACATAAAATCCTTAGCCGAAGGAAGTAATGACAAAATATCAATATAATCCCCTTCCATATTTTTTCTTTTATCATATTTGATAAATGGTAAGCCAGTGGTGAGATCTTACATGGCAGGACTTCCTTAGGCTGATAAACCACATCTCAAATTTAGGTGAACTATATTGCCAGTCTGAGTACCAGAAACAACAGTAGTAATTGAAGGTTGCAAATTAATATTAGAAGTATCTGTAGAAGGAGTTGTAGAACTGGTCCAAACAGCAGATAAATTAGTATTAGGATTAAAACTAGAAGGAGAAGAAATAGAACTAGCCAGTTTAGAAAAATAATCCATGAATTCAAAAAATATCTATGGTAACTCACCACACTACTATGATTTCCAGAAGCCTCAGTTGCTGCATTGGGAGCCCTGTGTGTCTCGCTGCTGCCTCCGCTGGAAAGCAAGGTAATGACATCCACATGCTCCCGTGCCGCCCCTGCTTCTGACCTAGCTGCAGAAGAATGTTTTGACTGTTCTGCAATCCTCTGCACTTCCAGGCAGGGAGCCACCCTGGAAGCTGAGCTTTGCCGAGCTGCGGCTTGGCGTCCTCCACCTGTGCTCGGCGATTGAGAATATACCCTCTTTGCTCATTGGCCGGACCGCCTCTCTTCAATGACGACAGCTTTGTCTTCTGGCAGGGCCGGCTGCTCTGCCACTTGACCCGCAGTGGATACTGGATGCTCTGGAGTCTGTTGACACGTTGACCGGGACTGGGAGGACTTGTCTGCTCCACGGCTTCTCTGCTCTTGCTGGTCCTGGTGAGTTGCCGCCTTCTCCTGCCGCTTCTTCAGCTTGCTCCCGCCAATCCTCTTCTCCCTCCTCCATATCCAGTCAGTGCCTGAGCCAGTCTTCTCTGCTGCTGCATCCTGCATGCTCCAGGACACGGCACAGCAGGGTCTTCATGGTCGGAGTTTCGCCAGTGAGCTCCCAATAGTATTATAGCTCAAGAAACTCGTTGGGCGACGCCGACCAACTGGCAACTTAGCTCCGGAGACTGCTACTGATATCATAAGCCCCAAGGGTTTCAGAACTTTCCAAAGGTCACGTGGGGTGTTGCTTTCCTGCCCAAAGGACCTATAATTTTCTTAAAGGGGAATTAACCTCTAAAAGCTCCACTTGAGGTAAATTAATAAATCCATTTGAAATTAATTTGAACTCAAGAGGGAGCGGCGGCCTCAAGCCCATGTATGTGGTCATTGATTATCTGCCCACTTTTTACATTTACACTTTTTTAATCTTAAAGAAATAAAGCTTGAAAATAGTATAGGCAGCCTTCATGTGTGCTCAGCATTTTCATTCTTGTTCATCTTTACTGACACTTTCTATCACCATACATAGGAAGAAATCCCATTTCATTACAGTTCAAGGCATATTTCAACTGTGCAGTGACGCCTGTCTAAATTATTCAGCCCTCAGAATATGTTTCAGGACATTTTTCTTGGCATGTTTACTCAAGACTCTTCTTTATCTTTGTTAAACTAAGTATTATTTCACCACTTACATTTAAAGAACTGTGGTCTGAACAAAATCTATCATTTGTAGAGGCAGAGCTTTAGGGGCCATGTCATCCTGGCAGTACTGCTCCTGACACCATCTCACTTGCAGCTCAATCACCAAAGTACGTTCTCTAATGCATCCTTTCTAAACCTTTTCAAGACATAAGAATCCTTGAAAAACCTTTCCAGTCTTAAGGAACCCCTGCTAAAAACTACTATATCTACAACTCATGATACTTTAGTGTGATGGTCAGTAGGAGTAAAGCCCTTTACACTTGTGGTCATTGGGAAGAAGTTCCTTGTTATAATATCTAAAGTGATCAATGGTGTCAGGGGGAACTTATCTGAGAGGCAAACATTGCTAATTGCTCAAGGAACCAACCCCTAGGATCCTCTGGAGGAACCCCAGGGTTCCATGGAGCCCTGGATGAGAAACCCTGCTCTAATAGATGTCCTCCTCGGTGGAAACTTTGCATCCGACCTTCAGCTGTGTGTTTAGTGTTAGGGATTCTGTTGCTGGCAAGTTATGCCAACTAGAGACAGGATCTCTGTGACCTAGACCCTCCATATAACCTTAATTACAAATTTGTTTCTTAAAGCAGAACTTCACTCTCTCAGTCAACATTGACTATTTTAAATCCTTATGCTGTTAGCATTAGTTAATGGATAGGAAAATATATTATTTTTACTTGTTTTAACCTTTTTTTTAACACTTCTTCAGTTACTTCCTGAACAATTTACATGTCTAGGCAAATGATGTCATACATCCGAGGAGTCTTCAGGAGGGGAGGAGGGTGGGAGGGTTTTTCTCAGCTAAGTACACCCTCCTGCCTTCATGCTTGAGCTAAGTGCAGAGGGATTCCAGGAAGTAAATGCTACATAAATCATCTGCCCTTACTCAAGATGGCCACAGCCAGAAATGCTAGGGGGCATTTTTCAAAATGATTTGCTAGCAAAATAAAACATGGAGACATGAATGGATGGGTAAGTTTGCTTTGAATATTGAAAACGTATCTAAAAGCATTTTTGGTTTGTGGTGCTCAGATACAGTGTAGTTCCACTTTAAGTCAATGAGCTTCAATTTGAGACTTCGCTGATCTTGTATCATATATTTACAAAATTGCTTGTTGTCCCTGGATATTGTAAGCATATCTATGGTCAAAATGTAAAATCATATATTTATTTCCATACTGTAATTCAATTCTTTCTAGCATACTCCTATTAATTTGCATGATCTTGAAGTTTGTAATTTTTTTTATGAGGATCCCCAAACATTTACTTCCCAATTTTGTGACATGAATTCACTATGCCCTGTTTATAGGCACTGCTGTGTCACAGAATTCACAGAGCCTGCCTTCTGAATTACAGAGGTGCTGAGAGGAGGAGTTTCAGGAGGCAGCGTCAGAACAGGAATCACAGCTTGCAGGCAGCAAGGTACCATGGGAAATGTAGTCCTTAGAAGTTTTCAATTTGAAAGTTAGCAGCCAAAAGAAAAGCTGCAAAGCTTCAGTGGAATCCAGTTGTGGGAAGAGATGGCTAACAGACAGGCAGCACTCACAACTTGAAAAGTTTTTTTTTTTTCAAGTAAGCTTAAATTGGAATATCAAAAATAACTATTGTTTGTATTGCTATCACAATGCTAGTGTATAGATTAAAAAAAAAACCTGATCCTATGTATGACTAATGGATGTTGAAATAGGATCACTTCTTACAGTCACTCTTGCTGGAAAAAATCTAGCAAATAATTTTAAAATATATCTTCCCTTCCTACCCAATGGACATGTTACTAATGTGTCACTTCAGAGCTGTGGGGCCTTTAACACTTTATTTAGTGACAGTGTCACTTTAAGGCAATCTTCCAATGCAGAAATGTTGACATTTCCTTTAACAGGGGAACAAGACGGTGTCATTAGACATACACTAAATTGCCAAAAGTATTGGGACACCCCTCCAAATCATTGGATTCAGGTGTTCCAATCACCTCCATGGCCACAGCTGTATAATATCAAGCACCTAAGCATGCAGACTGCTTCTACAAACATTTGTGAAAGAATGGGTCGCTCTCAGGAGCTCAGTGAATTCAAGCATGGTACCGTGATAGGTTGGCACCTGAGCAATAAGTCCATCTGTGAAATGTCTTTGCTACTAAATATTCCACGGTCAACTATTAGTGGTATTAAAACAGAGTGGAGTGGGATCAGCGCATGCTGAAGCGCACAGTGTGCAGAAGTCGCCAGCTGTCTACAGAGTCAACAGCTAAAGACCTCCAAACTTCGCGTGGCCTTTAGCACAACGACAGTGCATAGAGAGCTTCAAGGAATGGGTTTCCATGGCCGAGCAGCTGCATAGAAGCCTTACATCACCAAGTGCAATGCAGAGCGTCGGATGCAGAGGTGTAAAGCAAGCTGCCACTGGATTCTAGAGCAGTGGAGACATGTTCTCTGGAGGGACGAATCACACTTCTCTGTCTGGCAATCTGATGGATGTGTCTGGGATTGGCAATTGCCAGAAGAACAGTACATGCCTGACTGCATTGTGCCAAGTGTAAAGTCTGGTGAAGGGGAGGTAGCTTTTCAGGGGTTGGGCTTGACCCTTTAGTTCTAGTGAAGGGAACTCTTAAGGCATCCGTGCTCCCAACTTTGTGGGAACAGTTTGGGGATGGCCCCTTCCTGTTCTAACATGACTGCGCACCTGTGCACAAAGCAAGGTCCATATAGACATGGATGAGCGAGTCCTGACCTCAACACCGTTGGGATGAATTAGAGCAGAGACTGCGAGCCAGGCCTTCTCATCCAACATCAGTGCCTGACCTCACAAATGCGCTTCCGGAAAAATAGTCAAACATTCCATAGATACACTCCTGAACCTTGTGGACAACTTTCCCATAAGAGTTGAAGTACTTGTAGCTGCAAATATTAAACCCTACGGACTAAGACTAAGATGCCATTAAAGTTCATGTGCGTGTAAAAGCAGGCATCCCAATACTTATGGCAATATATTGTATTTTACCAGACTTCTGTGCCGTGCATTACATGTAATCTGTGACAAAACAAAACATATGTAATAATGTTGTGATAAAGGCAGCCTTTCTTTTACTCCTGTGCTTCTTATTAGTGTTGGGCAGAGAAGTGAATCCTATTCCCTTTCCCTGTGGGTGAAGTCACTGCCTCAGTAGTAGTATGCGGTTCACAATCTGGGGAATGGCTGATTCCATTAGATTTTTATCACAAAGGCTTTTAGCTTTGTAACAGATATTCCACACACATCTTTACCAATAAATGATTATGTGGCTTAGCTATTCTTAATACTGTGATGGGATTATCTTGTTTCAAATAGGGGATTTTATTATGGCTTATCTTTAATGCCTTTATGAGGAAATAAATAACAGAATTGGCAGCAAAAGGTGAATTAGAATGTGATCTGGGGACAGAGGCATAATTTATAATAGAATAAAAATGTCATCTTTAATAAAACATTTTAATTGTACAAAGAGTACAAAAGACATTACTATACTGAGGCCTCAGCTAAGCAGCTAATAGCAAATAAAAAAGTAGACACACATGTGACTTGGACTGTGTTCTAATGATTCCCTCTTAACTAGGTGCACTTCTCAAATTATTAAATGTTAAATGGTATTAAATGTTAAATCAACAATAATTATAACTTACAGTGCACAGTATTTGTAGTCATTTATTGTAACTGAGGTCCTCCAGTCTCCTTATTATTGTATAGACCAAACTGCAAACGTACATCATCTCTCAAATATAATATAAAGAACCACAAAAACCAAATGGGACTTTACTGGTACAGAAAACGGACAACCTCATTTTACTGTATAAAACATGTTTATTGAAACATATCTTCCAACAATTTACCATAAAACAGTATTTCAGATAATCAGCCCAATAATTTACAGCATTGTATGTAGTGACATCAAAGTCCTCCAGAGGTTGATGCATTTCGCCTCTTAGCTTCCTCAGGACCCCGAAATAGTTGGAGGCAAAGAAGTCCAATAGTCTAGCTGGAAGATACAGTGGGGATCAAAAGTTTGGGCACCCCAGCTAAAAAATTTGTATTAATGTGCATAAAGAAGCCAAGGAAAGATGGAAAAATCTCCAAAAGGCATCAAATTACAGATTATACATTCTTATAATATGTCAACAAAAGTTAGATTTTATTTCCATCATTTACACTTTCAAAATAACCGAAAACAAAAAAATGGCGTCTGCAAACGTTTGTGCACCCTGCAGAGTTAATATCTTGTACTGCCCCCTTTGGCAAGTATCACAGCTTGTAAACGCTTTTTGTAGCCAGCCAAGAGTCTTTCAATTCTTGTTTGAGGTATCTTTGCCCATTCTTCCTTACAAAAGTTTTCCAGTTCTTTGAGATTTCTGGGCTGTCTGTCACGCACTGCTCTTTTAAGGTCTATCCATAGATTTTCAATTATGTTGAGGTCAGGAGATTGTGAAGGCCATGGCAAAACCTTCAGTTTACGCCTCTTGATGTAATCCCCCCGTGGATTTCGAGGTGTGTTTAGGATCATTATCCATTTGTAGAAGCCATCCTCTCTTTAACTTCAGCTTTTTCACAGATGGCATCAAGTTACCATCCAAAATTTGCTGAAATTTTATTGAATCCATTTTTCCTTCTACTCGTGAGATGTTCCCTGTGCCACTGGCTGCAACACAACCCCAAAGCATGATTGATCCAACCCCATGCTTAACAGTTGGACAGAGGTTCTTTTCATTAAATTCTGTGCCCCTTCTTCTCCAAACGTACCTTTGCTCATTCCGGCCAAAAAGTTCAATTTTAACCTCATCGGTCCACAGAACTTGTTTCCAAAATGCATCAGGCTTGTCTATATGTTCATTTGCAAAGTTCAAACGATGATTTTTTGTGGTGAGGACGTAGAAGAGGTTTTCTTCTGATGACTTTTCCATGAAGACCATATTTGTACAAGTATCTCTTTATAGTGGAATAGTGTACCACAACTCCAGTGTCTGCCAGATCTTTCTGGAGGGATCGTGCAGTCAAACGTGGGTTTTGAATTGTTTTTCTCACAATCCTGCGAGCTGTTCTGTCTGATATTTTTCTTGGTCTTCCAGATCTTGCTTTAACTTCCACTGTTCCTGATGACTGCCATTTCTTAATTACATTCCAAACAGAGGATATTGACATCTGAAAACGCTTTGCTATCTTCTTATAGCCTTCTCCAGCTTTGTGAGTGTCAACTTTTTTCAGTTTCAGTTTTCTAGACAACTGCTTAGAAGAACCCATGGTGCTGATTGTTGGGGCAAGGTCAGATGAGTCTGGGCATTTAAAACCTTTGAGATTGACATCACCTAGTCTTCCCTGACGATGATTGAGAACAATCCATGACACTGGCAGGTCTCAGCTTTGCAAAGGGGGCAGTGCATGCTATAAATTCTGCAGGGTGCCCAAACTTTTGCAGACGCCATTTTTTTGTTTTCTGTTATTTTGAAAGTGTAAATGATGGAAATAAAATCGAACTTTTGTTGACATATTATAAGAATGTCTAATCTGTAATTTGATGCCTTTTGGAGATTTTTCCATCTTTCCTTGGCTTCTTTATGCACATTAATACAAATTTTTAGCTGGGGTGCCCAAACTTTCGATCCCCACTGTATATATATATATATATATATATATATATATATATATATACACACACACACACACACACGCAAAACATTCATTATATAATTGTAATTATTACACAAACTTTACAAAAAGAAAACTTCTCCACAAACTTACATGTCAACATGAGCGGCAATAAAGGGTAGTAGCATCCACACAGCGGTTAAAGTGGTCATCGATGAACATCCCGCACACGCGGCCACCGCTCCTCGTACCCCACACAGCAAGGCCCTGTAAATAAACTAAATATTCACATCCTAAGACAGAATGGTGGGGGTGGGGGGGAAGGGAACCGAAAAAAAGAACAGAAAAAGGGAACCAGAAAAAATCCCAAATGTGACTCACACTAAGTAACTCACTGACAAAAAGAGGCAGACAGCAAATCTATCCACATGCCGATGTCAATCATATGCGATATATCCTGTGCATATTCTCCACAAGGCAATCTAAACATAACAGTATTAGTCAGTGGAAACATCCGCATTTCTCACCGGTCCATCAGTACCACTCAATATTAAATCGGTATACTCATACCTGGTAGTCCCAACATCAAGGTAGAGATAGGAAAAGTCCACCCATGAGTAATAATTCTGCAGTATCATTAATTGCTTGTCCAGCACCTCTCCAGTGTCAGTCACCAGGGTTATCCGTATATGGCTCCTATAATCATATAGATATGTGGCCATATTCAATAAACAATGCTGTCCCCAACTCAAACCACTCCAGACAACAAACCGACTCAAATTAGCGAGAATGAACCATCCATCCCGCGGCTGGTGCATATTGCGCATGCATGCCTACGTCACTTCCACCCTTACCAGTAATTGGAAGCAAGTGCATCCTCACATCTCAGAGATGACCATGACACCTATATGTTATCCTTAATAACCCCACAGTCTCAGCTACAGTCAGGTCCATAAATATTGGGACATCAACACAATTCTAACATTTTTGGCTCTATACAACACCACAATGGATTTGAAATGAAACGAACAAGATGTGCTTTAATTGCAGACTGTCAGCTTTAATTTGATGTGCCTCCCACTTGTTAAGGGACCGAAAGTAATGGGACAATTGGCTTCTCAGCTGTTCCATGGCCAGGTGTGTGTTATTCCCTCATTATCCCAATTACAATGAGGACATAAAAGGTCCAGAGTTCATTTCAAGTGTGCTATTTGCATTTGGAATCTGTTGCTGTCAACTCTCATGATAAGATCCAAAGAGCTGTCACTATCAGTGAAGCAAGCCATCATTGGGCTGAAAAAACAAAACAAACCCATCAGAGAGGTAGCAAAAACATTAGGCGTGGCCAAAACAACTGTTTGGAACATTAAAAAGAAGGAACGCACCGGAGAGCTCAGCAACACCAAAAGGACCCGGAAGACCACGGAAAACAACTGTGGTGGATGACCAAAGAATTCTTTCCCTGGTGAAGAAAACACCCTTCACAACAGTTGGTCAGATCAAGAACACTCTCCAGGAGGTAGGTGTATGTGTGTCAAAGTCAACAATCAAGAGAAGACTTCACCAGAGTGAATACAGAGGGTTCACCACAAGATGTAAGCCATTGGTGAGCCTCAAAAACAGGAAGGCCAGATTAGAGTTTGCCAATCTAAATCTAAAAAGCCTTCACAGTTCTGGAACAACATCTTATGGACAGATGAGACCAAGATCAACTTGTACCAGAGTGATGGGAAGAGAAGAGTATGGAGAAGGAAAGGAACTGCTCATGATCCTAAGCATACCACCTCATCAGTGAAGCATGGTGGTGGTAGTGTCATGGCGTGGGCATGTATGGCTGCCAATGGAACTGGTTCTCTTGTATTTATTGATGATGTGACTGCTGACAAAAGCAGCAGGATGAATTCTGAAGTGTTTCGGGCAATATT